ACAGAGCATAATGGTGTAGGTCTGACTTAGGGAATTTATCTGGATTTAGCTGTTCCTCCTTCTATAATCAACCTGGCATAGTTATTTATGAGAAATTTGAAGGATCATCATGTCCCAAAGGTATCTCCCCATGCCGCATGCTCCACAAAGAGAACACACTTCAGGTCCCTTCTCTGAAACAATGTCACCTTGTGGGTATCCAGGAAGTGTGCTCTTTGGAATGATCCCACCCTCACCCCATTGTACAGCTGGCCCTGATCCTACAGGTCATTCGACAGCCAGTAAGCCTGGCTTTTTTCCAGAATGCTTGACTCAGCAAAGACAAATACATACGGTGAATTAATTTACGTTAGAAAAGTGCAATTAAATTTGAATGCTTATTCGTATTTTTTCTTAAACAAAATCAGGTATTAAAATGAGCTTATTGTCTTACATGTATGCTAACTATATATTTGAAATACAATTGGGACAATTGGGAAGAAAACTTTTTTGCTTATAGCATTTTTTCTACAATAAGGTTTTTCTTTGTATACATTTAATCCTGTTTTTAAATAACGCAATATAAATTAGAACCACCAGTTTTCCAATAGTAGCAAAATAACAGTGAAAATGGGGTTGATGAAGTGAATTCTGATCTAAAATCTGTCAGATACAACTAAGCTCAGAAAAAAGGAAAAGCTAACTTAAACAGCAGGGCTATGTGTTAATCTGGATTAAAAAAAGAAAAACATGATTCAAAGCACATGCTGATGCACATTTTGTTGCTATTGGTACCTCCTTAAATCAAACATGTATTTTCTCAGGATTTTGCTGAAATAGTATGATTCTAGAAAAAGACCAGTTTTCAAGAGTTTGCCAATGCATGTGATATGTGCCCTGTACCCTTCTGAATCATCTTTTCAAATCCAGACCACTGCATAGCCTTCTTGAATAATGTAATCCAGCCTTTCCCAATTTCCATTAATCTCATCAACATAATCTATTGACAAGCTGACAAGCTGAAATTCAAAGTAAACATATGTGTGAGCTGACACCTCAAGTCTAAATATTTGGTTTTTAAAACACATAACGTGCACATGATATGCAAACAATAAGTGCATAGCATTTTAAGAAGTTGGTTCAGACAAAATAGAAGCTATAATAGGTAGAACCTTCAGTAGTGTGCTCTTTTAGTCAGAGTTAATAAATATTTGCAACACTAAGTCATTAATTACAAGAGCAATTTAAACACGTACCTTCATGATTTATTAAATGTACTGAATATATTGCCTAGTAAATATGGTTTGGGTTGTGGCTTCTTTGGTACAGTTCCAAACTTCATAATACGTCTATTTATATGAATTAGTCAGAATTACTGTTATGTTCGATAACAGAATATATTTTACATGCATAAATACCAACAACTTGTGTAATAGACTTGTTTAACTATAGAATTGTCCTACATGTACACAAGGAACAGATTTAACATAGGGCAAATACAATGGTAGTGGATCACAGCTCTGTTAGAAAATATTAAGGAAGTCAACATTAAGCACATAATGGAATACAATCTGGAAACATTGAATCATCAATGTTTCATTTGATTGCAGAAGTGTGGATCAGGCAAAACAAAAAGAAGTGACATTTCTGCCAGGGAGAAGATGCAAGAAAATAAAATATAGTATTGTATTCAAAAATAATAGGAAAAATTGGAATAATAGCAGCTATCAAAAATCAAACAGTTTGTGTGGCTTATCTTTGAATTCAAAAGTTTAACATAAAACACAAGAAAAAGACAGCAACAAAGAATTTTGTGTAGAATCTTTAATAAAGACAAAGAACATAAAGATTAAAAAGGAAGTTATTCTTGTCGACTACAGCTAGTCATCGACTTACAACAATTAGTTTAGTGATGGTTCAAAGTTACAACAGCACTGAAGACCTTTTTTCATACTTAGGACTGTTAGCATCCCTAGGATCACATGATCAAAATTCAGATGCTTGGCAACTGACTCATATTTATGACAGCTGTAATGTCCTGGGTCATATGATCCCTTTTTACAACCTCCTGACAAGCAAAGTCAATGGGGAAGCCAGATTCACTTAATAACAATGTTACTAACTTAAGAACTGCAGTGATTCACTTAACAACTGTGGCAAGAAAAGTCATAAAATGGGGTAAACATCATTTAATAAATGTCTCACTTAGCAACATAAATGTTGGGCTCAATTGTGCTCTTCAACATCTTCATCAACGATCTGGACGAGGGGATAGATGGGGAACTCATCAAATTTGCAGATGACACCAAGCTGGCAGGAATAGCCAACACTCCAGAAGACAGGCTTAGGATACAGGAGGACCTGGACAGACTTGAACACTGGGCGCTATCTAACAAAATGAAATTCAATGGTGAAAAAAGTAAGGTTCTAC